ATCATCCAAGCAAAAGTATTTTAACAGATTGCCGGGAACACAATGAAACCAATATTACAAGCTTTGGGTGGGTAGGTGATGCAAAAGCAAGAAGTGTTGTATTAAGTCAACTTCAATATAGTCCTACTGTTGTATTGTCCCCAATTCCTCCATGGTAATTCCCATTACCAAAGGTGGACTTAAGTATACACGAGAAATTAAAAAAGAAATCAGAACAATTATCAATATGTAGTATGGTTCAGAAATATTGTGAGCAACATTTTCTTGATGATGCTATTATTTTTACTGACAGTTCTAAAGATCCTGAGACAGGTCGAGCAGGTTCAGCAGTTTATATTCCAACTAATGACATCTGTATTAAGAGGAGAATTTCAGATCATTTATCAGTTTACACTACAGAACTTATTGCAATATTGTTGGCTCTGTAATGGATAGAGGAAAATGGAAAACAAAACATAGCAATAGCCTCTGACAGCATTTCAGCACTCAGTAGTATTGCAAATGGTAAATCATCGAGCAGAGCAGATATCATTAATGAAATTTATGTAACAATGTACAGAATAGAAGTTAACGGTGTAAAGATTCAATTAATTTGGGTTCCAGCACATGTAGGTGTAGAAGGAAATGAAGTTGCAGACACTCAAAAAACAAAACAGGTTTTAAAAAGGAATTCAAAAGAACTCCAAGTCTCATTAAGTAGATTGGAAATTAAACCATTCATTAGGAAATATTCACAAACAGCATGGCAAGATTACTGAGATTTACAAGAAACTGGAAGACATTTATACAGTATACAAAATCATGTAGGGTTAGGAAGGAAAACAAGATGGAATAGGAAAGAAGAAAATGTCTTTACTCGGCTTAGAATAGGACACAGGTTTAAACAGCACTCTATATAAAATAGGTAAACATCCAGCAGGAAAATGTTCATATTGTAATGATCCTTAAGGAGTTATTGTTGCATGTTAAATGTTTCTGGTTGTGCTTTACTGGTTCTTTGAGTTGATGTGTTTTTGGGTGTTTCTGCAGGG